TCTTCTTATCTATCTTTTAGTTTGGTGTTGGGTGTGAAAAATCTATAGCATATCTTTTTTCCTCAAACATTTTATTAAGATTTTCAAATCACAATCAATCAATAAAATATTCAACTGAACAAACATAGAGAAGTAAAAACAGAATACAACATACTTGTCAACATACATATGTAGTGCTTTTGATTTAAGCATACATTGAATATCTACAAAGGAAAAGGTAACATATCTTATCATACTATTAGTAGGATATTAGTCTAATACTGACAGCAATGCAGTTTTCTTGGTGTCTATAGTCTATAGGTGCAGTAAATTGAGAGCTTTAAGCTCACTTGAAATAACCTCTTGTTCAGCCAAATATTCCAGTGGAATGTACCATGTTCCAGCAAAATTAAAGCATGGAGAGTGTGGGTCATAATGTTGTATTTGAGCTGATATTTCTTCCATCACAATTTTTCCCCAGATTTTACAATGCTATAATGCCAGCATCAGAGCTGACTTATTTTTCCAATTGAATGCAATAGCTGTTTCCCTACCACTAGTAAAGTGAAGATTAGATCTTTTCTACTTTTAGGAATCCTAGGTTTGGGCCAGTAATTCAAGAACAGGACTTCAGGTGTAAAAAGAACACTGTAGCCTGAGACTGAGCGTATTTGATTCAGTACATCTACCCAAAATTGTCTAATTTTTGTGCACTGCCACCAGCAGTGTGCATATGTGCCTACCTCTCTGCAATTTTTCCAACAAAGTAGTGATTGAGAAGACATCATGTGGGAAATTTTAAGTGGCATATGATAAGCAGTGTTCCCTCTAAGCTGAGTTAGTGTGAGCTAGCTCAGTTTTTTAGCCTCCAGCTCGCACATTTTTGTCTTAGCTCAGGAAGGATGGCTCCAGAGCAAACTAATTTATGCAGTAGCCAAATCGCTCGCTCACAAGTTTAATGCCAGTAGCTCACAAAGTAGAATTTTTGCTCACAAACCTTCACAGCTTAGAGGGGACATTGGATACCAGTGGGTTAATATTTTGAACATTTGTGTTTTTATATAAATTATGGGGATTTCAGATGGGAACTTCTCCAAGGAGACTTTTGTTATCTGAAAGAGTAAACATTTTTCCTCTGAAACCTCAAGTAGCCTCAAGTCAGTTGGTCAATGTCAGTAGTAATCACAATATATAAAGCCTGCACATTACATTGTTTGTGGTACACATTTAAGATTTATTAAAGTGTGCACCTCAAATATTGTTTGTGAATGAGACAGTTAGTCATGTATTATACAGGTACACTCATTAGAGAGCCAGGTTGGCTGCAGTCCCTTTTGAGTGTACCAAGCAGCATCTCCAGCTCTGCTGCCCGGTAATGTGGAATGGATCTTAGTCTGAAATTTTTATTACTGATCATCTTCTTTGAGCGGTATACAGTATTTCACACAGCCTGCTGGAGATGTAGTTGGCATTTCTGTGTCTTAAGATACGATGATTGGCCATGCTATCTGCATTTGGTAGACAGTGGGTGAGTATCCGATCATGAAGCTGCAAATTGGCATCAGGGTCTTCCGATATTTCTTTCAGATTCTCCGGAGGAAAGGAAAGCAGTAGAAACTGCTTGCTCTTATCTAAACTCTACCAATCTTGGCTGCTGTGAAATAACACCTCCCCATGAGCCTCTTAAGGCTAACCTCCAACTTGGGATGGAAGGCGAGACAACCTTGTGGCCAGGGAGTCCCATCAATCTGAATATTGTTGTAAAGAACGAATCTGCAGGCACATGGACCGTGGACCTTGTTGCCTCATGTCAACTGGAGTCCTACATTGGAAAAGTAGAGGCCAGCCTTGCAACCATTAAGCAGACTGTCCAAACAGAAGGCAAGCCAGGTATGCACAGTAAAACACCATCAGCATCCGTGTGCTCTTTATTATGATGCTTCTGTCTACCTCTTTAGAGGAGGAAGTCCTCATATACTGTCACAGAGAGTCTTTCTATGATAGGAACACAATTCTTTGAGCCACAGATTGTAGACAGGTATGTGTGTACACAGAGACATTTCCCTCTTTTGCATCTCCACCTCCCGGTATATATATGTGATCTTTTCCACTTGAAAATCAGGTTTCCTCCCCTAGTGGGAGATATCTGGTCCATGAATGACCTATGAGGGTCAAGCTATCAAAATAAGTTTACACAGTAGGCCATGGATAATCTCTCATGGTAACTGCACACGCTCTTCAAATTGTTCCGGTAACAAATATCCAATGTGTACCAGAACAATTGTAACCAGAACAATTTGGAGAGTGTGTGCAGTTGCCATGAGAGATAATCCATGGCCTACTGTATAAACTTTTAGCAATTGCACATCACATGAGAAAGCAACACCTGGCTCTAAAGAAAATCCTTTTTCATATATTTTTTTCTGAATGTGTGTTGTTTTACAATAGTAATATTGACCACTGAGGAAGGCCCTAAGGGGCCAAAACGCATATGGTCTACTGGTTATAAGATATACCCATCAATTGTATCGGTGAAACTAACAGCTCTGTAAGTAAAAAGTCTTAAGAGTCTGATAGTTGGATCATTTCTTTTAACTTATTTTATCTTTTAGTGATGTGTACACCATAATAAATATTTGTGTTTTTATAATTTTGATAGCTTGACCCGCATATATCACAGCCATATCCTGGGTTGAGTCCTCCCCATTTTTCTCCATGAATAACTTGTACAGGGCCATGCCCTTTGCTTTGCAGTCCTCTCCCCAGTTTTCCTGACAATTTCCCCTTGCAAGGGAGGCACATCATCCCAAACTATTCATACACCAGGCACCACGTTTCACTCTTGCCTTGTACAGTTCTCTTGCTAGCTGACTCTGCTTTGTGTTTGGCACAGTTATTCAAATCCCTCTGAAAGTAGCACCTGAGAGTTACCTAAAAGCACTGATGGCAGTAGAGGATGAACTTTTGGTCAAAGTCAACATTATTGCGGAGATTCAAGAAACCAGTGAGAAGCTCACAGAAGAGTTGACTTTAACCTTCCAGTACCCGCCTCTGAAAGTGGAGGTAAGGCATTAAAAAATAGCAGGCACTGCTGAGATACCATATACTTGGAGAAACTAAAGGTAGAAGAAATGGAAATCTGAATAAAAGTCTAAAGAGAAACACTAGGAAAGATACCCATAACACTCGGCCCATGCCATCAGGTCAAGGGCTTGCACATGTGCCCTACTATTTGCCAGGGATACTCCTGGACCAGCAGGAGAGGCACATATGGGCAATCCTCATCCAAACTGGGAGGGGGGAGAGGAATTCATCTGTAAGGGTGGGGAAAACATTCTTTCCTGTCCTGCTCACCCCCAAATGTTTTGCACCTTCAGCATCCATACATGGACGCTGCCGGTTATAAATCAATCTTGTTCATTCCATTTACAGGCTACATGTTTTCTGTATTTTCTTTGATTAGAACTCCTTTTCTGTTGATTTGTCTTTGTTCTGCAGATGCCAGAAACTGCAAAGATTAATGAAGATTTTAAGTGTGCATTCATTTTCAAGAATACGCTCTCCATTCCCTTGGAAAACTGCAAACTGCACGTAGAAGGCTTGGGCATCTTTAGAATGGAAACATTTGATCAAGGGTATGAACCTAAAAGGAACTGCTGTAGACTGAATCACACCTAGACTTCCAGTGCAGTGAGAACAGTTTAGGGGATCAATCAAGTTTTTCTCTTATTGGTTTCATAGTTAATGTGCATGTCTGTAACGTGCTGTCTGCTTACAGCCAACTTATGGTGACCCCATATAGTCACCATAGTTTGCCATTCCTTGGTGATGTCCCATTCATGTACCAAGCCTGCTTAGCCTCCAAGATATTACAAGATCGACCTATACTATACCATTTTACATCCCAATGGTAGTTAATGATTCCATAGTAAATATTTTCTGTACAGAGAACTTTTTCTCCCTCCTCTGTAGAACTAAGGTCATCCAGTGAAGCTGATAGGCAGTAAACAAAATTAATTATCATAAAGCAGGGGACCCACAAGAACTTACAGGAGAATATAATTTTCTCTCCTCCACTGTTTCTTATTTCCCTTCCCTGAAAGCCTCCCCGTTTGCTTCTCTCCTTCCTACCCTTGTCAAGCCACTTTTATCTTCTCACCAGCCAACATACTTTTATCTTCTCCCTATTTTCAGCTTTCCCTAATAGCCTCTACCAGGAAAAATTGTGTGGATCAGTTGTGTGATGCCAGCCGCCAGGCCAAGCAAGCCTAGTTGGGCAGTGAGGAACCTTCAAGGCCTTGCAAGGGGCACCTCATTTTCCTCT